TGGTAAAATTAGTTTTTTCCTGATATGTAAATTTTTGTTGTTATAGCCTAATTAATTATGCAAAATGCTAATTTTATGCATTTTACAGAAAACTCTACATATTTGTCTGTAGACTTGTGAAGAATGTTGAAAATGTATTGAATAAATGTTTCCTTCATCTCAAACTCATGAGGTTACATTATTTTTAGGTAATTTAAAAATGCATAGGTTAATTTGCATAAATTCTGAATACGCATTCATGAATATCAAATCTGGAAATATACAGGGAACTAGAATCATTACAAAAATTGTCAGACTCAACTTTTTGAATGTTAATTGAAACTTATTATTCATATGACACTACTTTTCTAACATAAAATAGTTATTTTGATGTAAATAATAATGATAATTGATGCAATTTTCGAATATTTATTTTCTTTTGTATTTTATTGTTTTTTATTTCTTATTATATCTATTGTTTTATTTATAATGTATTCTTTTGTTCTGAAATACATCAAGTTACTTTGAGAAACATATAAAAGCAATTTGCTATCAATTCATATCTCCCACTTAGGAAGAAATGAATTCACATTTCTGCTTGTACATGAATATATGCAATTAGAGCATATTTTTGATGACATGCGCATACTAATTGTTATGTAACACCTTACAGGTATATCCGATTTCGACGAAAATGGTATCAAAATGTGGGTAAGACTTGAGGGAAAAAAGTCATGAAACGACAATTCAAAATTCCAATCGGTTGCAGCGAAATCTTTGAAAATGTCGAGGGGGGGCCTCCCAGGCCCCCCCCCCCCAGTACTGTAAGGGTTAAAGGCTTGGATTTACCATAGAGTTACTAACCGGAGTGGACACTCTGCCCTTAGGGCTTTTCTTATCACTCAGAGCGGGATTATGAGGGATTAGGGGTCCAACGAAAAACAAAACGACCTCTTACGCAACGAGGTCACCCTGGTCTCGATCTCCGGACTTTTATGTCCCATGCGCGATGCCGTGCTGAACTGGCCCTCTTTTGGAGGAAACATCGACAGTCCAGTCATAATATATAGGTGGTTTATCTAGACTAGCTTTATACACATGTCGATAGCTTCATCACATGCGACACACACTCTGATGTCGTGGTAGTCTAAGAATTCAGCTCTAGATGGTACAAAGATCTCGAAAATCGGCAAACGACAAGCTGAGTTTTGACCTGATTATTGTTGAAAAATGTCCTTATTTTGTTCCATTTATATTCATATTTCAATGTAATATTAGTGGTAGACCCAGACTACCCCAGATGAAAGTCATTTTTTTGGCAGACAAATGAGATTTTCTTCTTTATTTTGATGTATGACTCCACCGATCTTGGCCGTTCTTGTTATTGTGATGACCTATTGGAAACCTGTTAACATCTGCTGTGTCACTATTTTTCTATTGTCCCACTAATATATATTGGTGTGTGGTTTCAGTTCACCTGGCAATATTATTGTGCGTGTTGGACGAGTTGAGGAACTATAGCTGCTAGCTGGGCCGGGACGGCATGAATGAGATGACATGCATATAATTATAAGCGCTAAGCTTGGCGGATAGTTAGGATTATATTTTATGATTATTAAACAACTGTTCTAATACAATTACAAATCCATTGTGATGTCTAGACTCTAGTGATGTCTATTGATTGTCTTTGACTTTTGTGGTGATTAATGATGTTGATTGTGTTGTCAAATATGCAATTAGATCTAGGTCTATTTGTATATAAATAGTCTAATGATAATTGATCCAATGGCCGGGGTAATAGTATATTTGTAAAGCGCTTAGAGACATTTGTATTAAGCGCTATACCTATAAAAATTAAATATTATTATTATTAAATTAATATTATTATTACTGGTAATGTCAGGGAGCACCTCCCTGCATATTATCGATGGTAATGCCTAGATGTTTACATTTATGTTTACAATTTAAAGGTGGGGGGGGGGGTGGGGGTAAGAGCACATATTTTATTTTGTCCAGTTTTTGAGGAAAAATTTTGCAACGACTCAGTCAGCCGCTGAATAGTCATTAGTCATCTTCCAAATAGTAATCGTCACGCGAGAAAGCTGTAAACATATCTTACAATGCACCGCACATGCCAGCGGTTCCGGCTGATCAACCGACCTTGCGCATGCGCTATGTGATGTTATTTACGACCGGTGCGACCAGGCGGCATTAATCCAATTTAGTGGAATGGTCGCTTGGGGAGCGCGGCATACAGGATGGGTCGTTTGACCCTAATCCAGTCCCCACTCCTAGGCTAGTAACTCCATGGATTTACCAAAACTGTTCAATAGCCACATCCTCCTGACTTCGCTTTCTTGTGCACATGAAACCAGAGTTATGAATACCTTCACTATTTTAATAGCAGATGTAGATTTCTTGGTATTATTTATTTCAGTGTTATTAGGATTCCTGCCAAACTTAGGTCATGTATGTTACTTGCAGAGCCGATGAACTGATTATATTTTGGGGTCATGAGGTCAAAGGTCATGGGGTTCATTATGTATGCTAAAATAGCTTGTGAATGCATTCTCATTAGAACTGACAGATGGAATACTATCAAACTCAGGACATGTTTGTATCTTGCAGAGCCAATGAACTGATTAGATTTTAGGGTCATGAGGTCAAAGATCAAAGGGTCATACATGTATTTGAAAAAAGCTTGTAATCAACATGAAAACCTGTTAATGGTTTACAATTGAAGATGAATTTTAAAAATTTCTTCTGTTTTGGTTGGTGAAATCGCTCAATGGCGGATGGATCATTTTCGACTGCGTGCAGTCGAAGGTCCATCTAGTTCTTGTAAACTCTATGGCCCGTATTCCGTACTCCTGTTTAACTAAACACTTGTCTAAGTCCTGTCTAAGTCCTGTCTAACTTTACGAAATTTAGTTAGACAGGACTTAGACACGACCTCACGTTTAAGTCGTGTCTAACTAAACAGTTGTTTAACTATAGACATGACTAAGTTAGAGACGTCTTCAGAATACGGGCCTATATAGTTATCTTTGTTAAGAATGTGAATATCAATACAGCTGTGTTATGCATGCAGTTGGTGATAAATATAAGAATGCAATGAGAAATTAGAACTAGTAACTAAAATAGATGTGTTTATAGATGAGCTGCTTATTACTATATTGGCAAACAATGCAGATCCAGACTTTTCAGACATTCGATATCCAGGATCTCCAACCAGCCTCATTACATCACCTAGCAGAAGCGATGTGTTCTATGCCAAACCTGACTGACCTGAGACTCTTTAGACAGGATCTGATTATGGAGTTCTCCTCTACATTGGTAGCAAAGGCATCATCCATACAGGTATGTGTATCATGTGTGAGCGTGAAGCAAACAAACCATCAAAACCTGTTCAATCCGTATGTCTCTCAATTCAAAAAGCATATTATCGTGAAGAACATCGCTTCATTGTTATTCAAAATCAATGGTAGCAGGAAGATCGATAAAGAAAGTAGAAATTTAGGTACAAAAAGCAGGAGCTCTTTATCCTTGTTCTATTCCCTAAGATGTATGATGGCGCCCTTATCAGAGATAGTGTACATTACATATAGGTAAATGTCTATTTTGGCTGTGATGCTGCACAGTAAGCGATGTTAAATTCTATAAATTTAGTATCAAAGATGCACAAGATTCTTGGCTGTTAACCCTATATTACAATACCGGTAGGTGACTAGCCTGGGCTATTTTGAAACTACATAGCCTGGGGGGGGGGGGGGGGCAAGATCTTGGTCGATAAATGGCCGATCGCTGCAAAAATGTGCATGCATGTCAAGTGAAGTGTATAGAGTACTAGGATAAGTTCAATTTTTTGAAAAATTCACTCATTTGCATATTTATGGTAATTTATGCAATTAAGGCCATAACATTCCCATTTTTACATATAAATCATATATTCTTAATATTCAAACATTCGTTTTCACAACATATATTCTTTAGACCATTTAAAATAATAATACAACACAAATTGGAAGAGCCAGGTCATTCCTTATGTTATCTATTGTTTTGATAATTACTTATGTATTTCTTTGTTTTTTTAGATCAAGCATTTTATTATTTTTGTTGTTTTATTTCATTTCTAAACTATTGTGACCCCCCCCCCCCAAAAAAAAAAAAAAAACACAAAAACAAACAAACAAACTAACAAACTCCCTAAACTATAAACAAGACCAAATAACCAATGTTTTATCTCTTTTTTTGGAAAAATGATACGCAAATCAGGAAAATGAGCAATTTTCGGGCCGACATGCCAAAACACAAGGTCACATGAATTTGTAACCGTATGTCCGAATTTCAAAGAAAATGTTTCAAAAGATTCGCAAGATTCGAAAAAAAGTCATAAAATTTCAGCGCTTGTTTGCATTCACAAATTATCAGGGAAAATGTACCCCCCCCCCAAGCTATATAGGGTTAAGTTAGGACAGATCTTGGAAATAAATTATTCTCAAACACATTGCTTACAGGAAAGGAGACAGCTTCCACCCACCCAAGCCATTTTAGGGTTGAATCGTTAAAGTAATGCTCCTCTGTACTCTGTTGTTTTCTCTGATCCACTAATAGTTTGTGAAAAATGATAAAGAATCTTTTCTAACAGGTATTTTTTTGTGTTTTATTTACTTGATGTCGATACCATATATCACTTACTACTGCTATATTGGATTCTACTGCCAGTACTACTACAGTAAAACTACCTCTATTATTAATATAACATTTTTCATAAAATTGCAGTATGGATTGGATCAATTTCTTTTTGAAATTTTGGTAAATCTCTTGCTCAAACTTTTCTTACTCTAGCTTTTTTAAATTCTCAATACTTCTTTTTCATTTCAATTTAATTTCTATGGGATGTTACTGTAGCTCTTGAGTGTATATTCCCAAGAAAATAGATTATGTGCCAGAATTAAATACATCCACTTACTTGAAACTGTTATAAGGTTTACAAGCAATGTTGCTGTTATATGTTACAGGGTTGTTTTCCTCAGATCAGGAAGGGAAACTTCAGGTTGAATGGAGTTGCTCAAGATGACTTGAACTCATTTCTTCACACCCTCACATTTTATGAGAGGTCAGTACAGTATATGTGATTTGTAAAATAAAAATCAGATAACAGTTTGTATACTTTTTATGAATGGTGGTATATAGAAACAATATAAAGAACCTTTAGTATAAAAAGTCTCTTAAGTGCTTCCAAAGAGCTTTGGAAATTATTACCCTAGCTTTAGCTCCGGTATGACTAAAACTCATTTCTTCACTTCATCACATGTTTGCAAAGGTCAGTACAATAAATGTGATTTGAAAGAAAAAAAAATCAGATAATAGTTTGTATACATTTTATGAATGGTAGTATATAGAAACAAAGAGCCTTTAATATAAAAAGTCTCTATGCGCTTCCAAAGAGCTTTGGGAATTATTATTCTAGTTTTAGCTCCAGTAGCTGTTATCAGCGCACAGTGCATTTGAAGGAATAATCCTACCAGGTACCCATTTACCTCACCTGGGTTGAGTGTGGCAAATGTAGAATAATGTCTTGACAAGGGACATTAGTGCCGCGGTGGGACTCGACCCGCGGACCTTGTGATCGTCCGGTGACATATCCACTTAACCATGACACCTCTACTGCAAATTGCTTTCAACCTTAAATTTGTAGATTTGTTTGTGGTCATGGTTTTTTGTGGGTTCTTGATATTTTGGTTACACTGTAGTCTCTTCTTTCTTTTTTCTTCCTCATTCACTAATCAAAATGTTTCTTGAGACTGGTACTTTTAATAATACCAATAGTAATTTCTCATCTTTCGTTCAGATAATAAGAAAAAATATGTTTCCTTTACAGCTCGGACTTGGACTGCTCAAGTGACTTGGATGGCTCTGCCAACTCAAATGTCTCAGAAAACTTGGCTGACCCTCTACAGCAACCCATGGGTGATGTACACTCTCCAGGATGGACACTACCCTCATCAGACCACCGTCAACAGCATGTTAGCAATACATCAGATACTGTATGTCAATTTTCTCAGACACACAGAGAATGCAGTAGCAGTCAGAGCAGGCCTTGCAAGAGGCAAGCTCCTTGTACTCAGTCAAGAGCTCCACAGGATGTTCATGAAATTCCAGAGAAGCAATCAAAGAAGTCTAGTTGCCATGGTACTGTAGAATAAGACAGTATTCTTTTAACACTTCATCTTGACTTTGTGTATGTATCTTATAGGGCTCCACACTAGTTTTTTTTTGGAAAGGAGATCCAGATTTAACTTTCTACAGTCTGTATACATAAGCGCTAAGTAAAAAATTCCAAATACGGGGGTGTCCGGACATGGATTTTGGGCGTCCATGTGTCCCAGCTAGCCTGTTAGCTTTGAGCCCTGGAGTGATAGCAAGAAATTCGGGTTAAAAAGGGTTAACTTTCAGCAATGTTTCCAAATGTTTGATATTTGTAAAAAAAATGCTGTTTTCTTCTTTTTCACATTGATGAGTACAGTCCACTATGTGGAGTAAGTGTATCATTTTTACGAGAAAGAGAACATAATATATTGTCACAATGTTAAAAAACATGTGAATGGCCTATGTAGAAAGTGATCCAATAATAGAATACGTTTAGAGAATGTGTACTCAATAAGCCCAAAACAGAGTAGTATCAAGAGCCCATTGTGTACCTAGTTAATGCAAATAGGGGTTATGTTGTGTGGTAAATGTTTTTTGAAATACTCTCAATAGTGGGTCATTTGTATGCCTTCGCAACGAAGTAGCCGGAGGCATTATTTTTTGGGGTTGTCCGTCCATCTGTATGTCCCGTTCTCGTGGTTGCGTTATCTCAAGAACCAATTGATGTATTCCGCCAAACTTGGGTAATGTATGTATCTTGCAGAGCCAATGAACTGATTATATTATGGGGTCACAAGGTCAAAGGTCACAGGGCTCATTATGTTTGCAAAAATAGCTTATGATCACATTCTCAATGGAGGGATTATCATCAAACTCAGGACATGTATGTATCTTGCAGAGCCAATGAATTGATTAGATTTGGGGGTCATGAGGTCAAAGGTAACAATTTATAGGGCTCATTATCTATGCAACAATAGATTGTGATCGCATTATCATTAGAATAAATAGACATTTAAAAAACTCCTCTCAAGAACCGATTGATGGATTCCACCAAACTTGGGTAATGTATGTATCTTGCAAAGCCAGTGAACTGATTAGATTTTAGGGTCATGAAGTCAAAGGTCATGGGGCTCATTATGTATGCTAAAATAGCTTGTGAATGCATTATCATTAGAACCAATAGATGGATGACTATCAAACCCAGGACATACATGTATCTTGCAGAGCCATATTTATTAAAAAAAGCTTGTAATCATGATATTCTGAGAACATTAATGGATTACAATCAAATTTGAATGTTAGAAATTAATTGCTTCTGTTTTGGTTTGTAGAATCGCTCTATGGTGGAGTTATCATATTCAACTGCGTGCAGTCAAAGTTCCATCTAGTTTATTCCGCTATGATCATGCATGCTATGAACTCAGTATTATGGTTGAGAACTCTCGTAAGGGTGTATGTCATAGGCCTGAATTATCAGTGTAACATTTAATTTGTCTGATGTGGATTATTGTTTGTGTAAATATGCTGCTATATTATTAAGTCTCTTTTTTCAATGTAACATGCCTAAGTTATCAGTGTAATATTTAATTTGACAAGGATCATTGTTTGTATATTCAACATTCAACATTCAACAGTACTATATGATAAATCCATTTGAGGAAATATTTTCCAGGATTTTCTTGACATCATTCCAGTGTACATGTAAATATGCAACTATAATTGTTCGATACAAGTTTATTCTAATTGTATTACCGGTAGTACTGGATTACAATAATGTCTATGATACATATTCCAGGTTTTTCTTCGCATCATTTTGATTATGATTATGCAATTGTATGATACATGTATATTTTGAACTTGTATATGTTTGCCATACTTTAGTAAGTTATATTTGAGTAAGTTTACATTCCTTATTGGCTTATAAGCTACAACCATATACGTGTATAGTACTCTCATAAGCATTCTGTTACCTTGCCTTTTAATCACCATTTTCTTCTGATTAAGTGATGTCATTTTTATAATCCACTTTGATTTTCATAATAGACAATGCGAATCGCTCAGATCTGTTAGTTATTCTGAATTATGTCATGCAAATGGATGTACTAAACAGGTTTTTGTATATTGGATGATCATGTATTATTGAAATAAAGTTTGCAATGCTTTAGATTTGTAACCACTTTGATGTACAAAGGAGACAAAAGAACTTGCAAGTTGTAGTTTTATGATGGCGTATTTGTTAGTGAGTATCCTGTATACAAGCTTAAATGGTGTCACGTGACGCTTAACATATTTTTATATACACAACCTTATTTTGCATGATCAATGCATGCAAAAGTGAATTAGACTGTGCACATCTCTTCTATATCTATGAGTTGCCCATTGTTTGCATTGTCTCAGCAGCATGCATCTGGCAACCTAAAAGTAATCAAGAGGGCCTTGACTCCAAACGTTTGCAAAATACCCACAATTTTATAAAAACATATATTCCATGCATTTCATTGTAGTTTATTCAGAATTCCTGCCACCCTACGTACGGCCTCATCATAGCCGCAATGTCAATTTACCATCAATCGAAGATCTGTACCAGAATAATATCCTTTCTAAACTAAAACAGATCAGGAATACACCTGTGTGCACCCACAAACTCAACTGCATGTTTCTGACGATCCTTTGTCCCTAACTCCCTATCCATCTGTTCAACTCCAAAGCAAGACGAGTTTCACCATCATGAAGTTACCTTGTAAATGTACAACAGTGTACAGATTTGTCATCTCTCTCTCTCTCCCTTTCTTCTCTTTCTCAACCCCCTCCCTCACTTTCTCTCGCTCTCTACCCCTCACTTTCTCTCTCTCTTTCTTTCTCTCTCCATCTCTCTTTATCTTCTATATCTCTCTTTATATTCTATATCTCTCTTTATCTTCTATATCTCTCTCTCTCTCTTCCCTCCCCTGTATCTTTGCTAGAATTCCCACTTGTGCACTTACAATGCCAATACTTAGATTTCATACATGTATCTAAATAATCAGTAAGCCACAAATGTACTGGATTGTCTATAACACAATATGATGTAGCCACACTTTATTGATGCCACTGAATGTACTGGATTGTCTATAACACAATATGATGTAGCCACACTTTATTGATGTCACTGAATGTACTGGATTGTCTATAACACAATATGATATAGCCACACTTTATTGATGTCACTGTTTGTACTGGATTGTCTATAACACAATATGATGTAGCCACACTTGATGTCACTGAATGTAATATTTTGATACATAATATTGCATAATTAGTAATAACATGTAGTGAGTAAGTAGGTAGGTAACTACTGTAAATAATATAATAATGAAAATAATACTGACAAGCTGATTTTGCTGATAACCTTTCTGATGGAATCGATTGTAAGTATGACGATATAACTCAAGTACTTTGTGTGTTAAGTATATATTTTGCCTCGTTATGTGTAGTTTATATTGTGTTACTTGTATCAACCAGTGAATGAACAATACATAATATATTCATACTTATACGAATGTCATAAGAAGTCATGATAAACAAAGAAGATTTAAATATATCTTCTGTATCTCTGGTCTCTTCGTCTGATGTGAAATCTAGAAGAGACATGGGAAGACGATAAAAGAGAGAAAAGGACCGGGAGGGGGCTAGTGAGGGAAAGAGAGGGAGATGAGTTTCAAAAGGGAGTGAGCAAGAAAAACATAAGGAGCTGAAAAGAGAGATGCTAAGAAAAACATACGAGAATTTAAAAAGATGAGTGAGAGAAATATCAAGAAAAGGGGAATTAAACCGAAAATAATAGCCAGTGACAGCATAGGAATAGGTGATCGCTAGATTACTTTGGAGGGAGACTGAGTGAGAAGATAGAGAAATAGTGAGAAGGGGTCACAAAGGAGATGGGGCGGGATGAGAGAGAGAGAGAGAGAGAGAGAGAGAGAGTAATGTTGATGAAGAGAGATACGAAGAATTTGGGTGATGAAGGGAAAGGGGGTGGGGGGGGGGGGGCAAATAGAGAGAGATACCTGCAATGAGTGATAATTGGGAAGGAGGTTGAGGTGGGGTTTGAGAGAGAACGAGCAGGAAAAACGGTAAGAGGGTGATAAAAAGAGATAAGAACATTAATGATTGTAGAGAGACTGAGAAGAAAGGGGAGTAAAGGGATTCAGTGAGAGGAGCAGAAAAAAGGGAGATATCCCGGGACGCGTCATTTTTTTCTGCGGCACAGATTGTGGCTTTTTTTTAAAAGAGGTCTTGATTTAACCCTGGCCTAACCCTAACCCTAACCCTAAACTTTCCCGAAGGCTCAACACGCACCTAACCCCAATCTGTGCCGCAGAAAAAATAACGCTCCCGGGACAAAAATATGGAGGAATGGGACATGAACTAGAAAGAGAGAGGGAGCCACATACCGGGACAGAAACAAACGGAATGGTGGTGAATGAGAGAGAGAGAGAGATGAGTAGAGACCTAAACGATAGATAGAAAGAGAGAGGGGAGGGGCGGGAGAGGGGTTATAGTGAAAGATAGTGAAAGAGAAAGGAAGAGAGAAAACATTTTAAAAACACAAAGGAGCAATCAGTGGCATTATCTAATAAACGAGCGTTATAGTTTTTCTTTTTCTTTTTAACCCTCAAACAAACTTAGGCCCGAATTAAATGTGAATTCGGGCCATTGTGTTTAACAATCGAAGTTAGAACCTTTAAAGGGATTTGGTAACTTGGTCTCGGATTCTGAAACAAAATCCTGGATTTAGCTCATGCTGCAATAATAGTGTAACGGGCCCGTAAATGGGTCGTGACGAAAAGTTCAGAAACAAAATGAAAACGAAAGAAGCTCGGATATCGGTCGGATATACAGTTGAAGTCCACTTTATTATTTATAAAAGTCAGCCGAAGCTCCAGTAGTTACAAACGAAGATTAATTATTTTAGAACATTTCAAACTAGCTGATTCTCTCAGACGCTGGGCGGCTCTGTAGACAGTAAAACTAGCAGCACATCCTAAACATGATAACGGAATGAAATAAAACTCAAATAAACTCAACTGCAAAATCTCGCACGTGGCATTTAAATACTCTGGCACCCGACGAGGCTTAGATATCACATAATATTACCAGCCAACCAGGAGGACCCTTACGAAGACAACCGATTACAAGATAGGATATATAAATTACCCTTAGGTCATCCGACCAATGAAGAGAGGAGTTATACATTTAATTAATTATAACCAATGACAAAGCATAATAGATAAGAGTGACTAGTCACCGACAAAAATGGGACGAGTCTATCTCTTCGCGAGAATGTCAGGTCCCCGGAAAAACAGTCTATTGTCTATCGTGTTTATCGGAAATGAACACCTGTACATCTCAAAGATACTATATTTCCCTTTTGCAGCCAACATCAAATTCTGTAGAACTTTGCAGGAATTATGAATATGTCGTGTATGTCCTATCGGTGAAATTTAAACGTTAGCAGTGTCCTAATATTCAAATTATGCAAGGAAACCCGTTTACTTGCTAGACTTCACTGTCAGACACTATTGAGTGACTGACTGGCTTTTTTCTTCTTTGGTAATAACATACATAAAATGAGCTGTAAAGGCAGGGGTATGTGTCACACATCCCTGGTAAAGGGTACATGAGCATTTTCTACATCAATAACCCACTTCTTGTAATGGCCAAAATTAAACTGATTGAATCTTTGCGCAGCTTAAAACGTACAACCACTCGGTAAAATGGTCTGAAAATCAGACTATTACTTAATACTGGCTCTATAGAAAGTCGATTCAACAACTAATAGTCGTTATTTTCCCACTTAAAGACATTTTCAAGCCCCCCCCCCTTTTTTTTTAGGGAAGTTCTAAAATAGTATTATCTTTCAAATGCCGTTGGAAATTAACCTTTTCATTTTTTTGGCCTGCAAATGGGACATTGTGCCTTTAATGCAGGAATTCATTTCCAATGTGCTTATCGAAATGAACACTTTAATCTAATACAGGAATTCAAGACCAGGGGTTGTTTACCCGTTCCC